ACATCCTATTCCGTGATGTTGAACATTGTGGAATCAGTTCTGCCCCCCGAAATCAATTCCATGTATTTCCGGGAACCCGAACATCATTCAACAAATTGGATTTATTCGACAAGGATCGCGCTCTCTCAATTCCTGGAACTTCCGGCATTGAGTCTTTTTTAAACTAATCGTGATCCCTAGGAATTCCGTCCAATTCCGCTTCGACGTAATTCCAGAATTACGTCGCGGAATTACGTTCTGCCCTCACCCTCATGTTGGGCTGAATGGTTAAATATTAATTTCTGAAATAAGTTAGCAGTTCCAGAACGGAATTCTCGGAATTAGATCGAAGTGAGATTGGATGGAATTCCAGAACATAGGTAGCTACGGAATTATAGGGAATTCATAGGAATCACGTCTCTTTTAAAAAGGACTCAATTCTGGGAATTGAGGGAACGTGATCCTTATCGAATAAGTCCAATTGGTTAACTGATGTTCGAGTTCCCGGAATTGATTTCGTAATGTTGAACATTGCGGAATAGGATGACTGCTCTCTTACCCTAAAATATGATCTTCAGTAATCAAACCAAAGGCTGAAAACACCCATCGCAAAAAATGTGTTCATAAATCAGTAATTATACGAAACATCATTTCTACCGTCAACTTATTGAATCATTTTAAAACGAAAAACTATCTGAAACGAATAATTGACTCATAAACTTCATTGTATGGAAAAATTGTTACGATAGAGGTAGAAATGGAGTAGCAAAACACCGATTACTGGGCCGAAAATAGGTCAAAAATTTGGTAATATCGTATTTTTCAAACATTCAACACAATTTAAGTACGATTTAGCTCAAACTTCCACTAATTATTCTTCTATATGCGTTTTATCATTGATCGTAGCGCCGAGTCGTGACAGTGAGCAGAAACGGCGCTAGCAATTTTCCAAAAAACTAGGTTTCCTTCCTGAAATCGTTATTTTTACGAACGCAGAGACACTTTAAAGCAAATTCAAGGTGATATTAGGATTCAGTGCGCCGAGCTGCATCGAACTATGTATAACAGTAAGTGTTTTTCAAAAGAAAAAGTTGGTTCCTGTATTCGGCAAGGTTCTGAAAAGCAGTCTTTCTGGGTTTTTTAAACGCTCAACTCAACTCACATCTGATCAATCGTTGATGGTAGCGCCACTTCGTATCGATAAGTAGAGCTAGTGCTACGGGTCTCCCAAAAATCGAGGTTGTTGCCCCCAAATCCCAATTTTTATAAAGAAGGCATTATTTTAGCGCAAAATCAAGGTGATATTCAGAATCAGCTCATCGAGCTGCATCGAACCATATACAATAAAGAGCGTTTTTTTTAAAAAAAATTTGGCCTATGTGCATGAAAACTTGAAAAAAATGAGGCATACTGTAGTTTTCGAAAGGTATAAACAGTTCTCATCCGACTGAGCTCAGTCCTTTATTAATTGTGTTCTTCCCTGTTATCAGTGCCTATGGATTAGGCTAGGTTTCCGTCAAAACCGTGGTTTTTGACCCCAAATCCCTTTTTCTTGTCCTTAAAATAATATCTCAACGACAAAGTAAGGCAATATTTGTAATCAGCGAGTAAAACTGCGTTGAATGGTGTATCGCACACTACATTTTCTAACAAAAGAATTTTTTTGAAAAACTTGGCTGGGATTCCCACAGGTGTTTTTTACGGAAATTTTTTTCCAAAAAAAAAATGGTTTATTTTATTACAGATGATTTTCCAAGTAGTATATAGTTACTTCTGAACAATAAAAGCTCGGTTTAAAACATGAAACTCACATGTCCGCCTACTATACGAAAGTTTCCCACTGTGCACCGGTCGATTTTGACAAGAAATCTCCAAAAATCGATGAAACTTAGATCTAGTATTATGAATCGGAATGTCTTCGGATTGTGACTAGTTGTTTAAGAATATTAGTTTATTTTTAGCTTAGTCAACTAAAAGGTCTTGTTGAACCTGTTTCATGGAATTATGTTCCAACATTTCATGATTACTACAAAATTTTATCTGCTTGAAAGATTTATCCAAAATTCTTTAATAATATTTGGGCTGCAAGTGCATTTAAAGGTGGTATTGATCGTTTTTCAATGATAACAAATACAACACATCATGTATTAAATAATCGTCAATGGCTTCATTTTATGCAATCACCAACTTTTGAAGAAAAATATTTCTCAGCTATCATACTTACCGGTTGGTCAAGATTTGATCATTTTATGCCCTTATGTGATATATTACCAACAGCTTATCCATCACTTCTTTATAGTTTACATATCTTAAATACAGATCAATATCTTGCTGATAAACCATTTTATGATTGTGAAACTTTAATGAAATCAATTGGTAAATATTCACAATTATGTAAATTATTGCCAGGTAATATTATAAGAAGAAGAAAAAAACAATCAATTATTTTTATATTTTTTATTTTTAAGGTATTTCTATTTTTTCAAGTATATCATCTTTATTCACAGTTGTTTCGAAAATTCAAAATCTTTTAAAACTTTTGTATGATACATCACCTGAATATAATCGAAAACATTCATTTGTACGTCGTTATGAACTTGATTCACAATTAACTGAATTAAAAAGTTTTCAAAATGATCTATTATCAAGTAAAGAACGATTAAATCATGATCTATCGAATCTTTATTCAAAAGATATTATTGATGAATGGTTTGATCTTTATGTAATACCAATAGAAAATCAAATGTATAAGGCATATATTGACTTTTCACCTGTATTTAATATAACATCATGGGTACGACGACCACTTATCTAGTGAGAAACTATATTGATTTTTCAAATAGTCAATGAAGTTTTTACTACAGTTTTAATTTCAATTTTTTAGTTTTTAAAAAACTAATAAATGACGCTATTGAAATTTTGAAATATTCAGAATATTATTTGTATCAATATAATCAAGTGATATTTATCATAAATGATAATTATCAAGATAAAAATTTATAGTAAATTACTAAGGATTAAAGTTAATTTGTTTGAAATAGAGAAAATCGGAAGTATCTCATTCCATTTACTTTGTTTAGTTTTTAAAGAATTGTCATGAAATTGGATAAAGATTTTATTTAAATGATCGTAATTTATTTACAGAGTACAATATTTTTGTTTTTTTTTTTGGTAAAATATCATAAAATTATTATATAGTCGATTTATCATGAAAAATATCTGTATGATTTGTCAAAAATGAAACTCCTTTGAAGATGAATTTATATGAGAAGATTCAAGTATCCATACGGCACGTTTCGATCCTTGCTTAAGAGGGATCATCATCAGGCATGGTTCGAATCTTATACTACATTATATAAATAGTGCAAAGCGTTAGGTTTATGATCTTCATATGTGAAAGATAAAGGATTCGGAATTACGAAAAAAAAAAAAATATGATATATCTACTCTGCTGCACTGATCATACTCAATATAGATGACTTTCAGCCTTTGAATAACATGTCTTCTTTGAAAAATGAACTTTTCAAAAGAATTAGATAAAAAGAATAGTCACCTTTGTTTAACAACTCAATACAGGATGAATACTTCTTCTTCTAAAATCAAATATATTCATTAGCAGATCGAAGACATTTCTTTTGAATATATCTACTGAAAAACAATCCTTCACAGAAGAAAAAAAAAGGAAATCATGCATATTTGATGATTCTTTTTCTTTCCTTTCAACGATAAACAAAACAAATAATGTTTCAGGTACACTTTTTTTCTTACATATACAATCAGAAAGGGAGAAAAGAACGTGATATATAAAAGTAACATTGAATGCAAACAATATGTTGACAACATATGAAATATTTCATTTGGTAAATATATCAAGAATATACACGGTTGGAAATAATATTATTCTAGGGGAGTACCGTTATAATTTCAAATAGAAGACATAATGAATTTTATATCAAATGAAAGCTCATCAAAAATAGAGATTATTGATACTAAATAGTGAGGATTACAAAAACTTTTTAATGTCAAACTTAAGAAATTTTATACTTTTTTGGGTTGAAAAATTAAGATGCCAGTAATTCAAAAATGGAGTAAAATTTTTTGTTCTTGGATATTTTTACATGGTTTGATAGAGATCGTCGAGCTCTACAAAACTGTATATGTTAAAAATTTTCTAAGCCATCTTTCTGAGATAAAAAGCTCAAAAAACGTTTAAAAACTCTTTTTTTCAAATTGAAGAAACACGCTCGATTTTTCAAAAGTAGCCTTTTCCATTATTTTTACTACCTCAGACGTCTCGAAATAGATTAATTAGACGCAGTTTTCACGCTGCATCGATCGAGCGTGTTTCTTCAATTTGAAAAAAGTTTTTAAACATTTTTTGAGGTTTCCCAAGTAGTTTTTTGAACTTTTTATCGAAAAAAGATGGCTTAAAAAAATTTTTAACATATACAATTTTCGGTGAATCAACAGTTAATATGTAGACAACGACACATAAATGCGACACAGCTTATTTTAGTGTGCGTGCGTCATCGTATTCGTCATTCCTTCTTTTAGATAACGAAAAAAATATCGATCGTCGCTGCAATTTCGAAAAAAAGTTGCACACACTGTTTACTCACTCTGTATTTCTGAGAGCATATGGTTGAATTATCACAACATTTCTAATAACTGATTTCTCACTCGCATAAAAGTGCCTATCGGTATGTGCATTTCGTTCAATACTTTACCCATTTATTTGAATAAAGGGTGTGGGTGTGGGTGTGGGTGTGGGTGTGGTGGCGGGTGTGGGGTGTGGGTCTTTTTGTCACCCACACCCACCCACACCCTAGATGTTCGCTAGTAATCTGCGTGTTCAAGCTGAAGCAATCAATACTGCTTTTACCGAAAAAGAAATCTATTGTGACAGTTGTGTGATTGATCTTGTAACTAAAATAAATGACCTACTTGCTTTTAATTCTAATCTATCAAGTCGAATTTACAATCAACGGTCCTCAATAGGTTGCATTAAACTTTCTCAAATGAATGTCGAAATATCAACGAAAGAATCAGAAATAGAAAAACACCTTCACGTATGAGAAACGATGGCGAGTTGTACACAACATTCGATTTCCAACACTTAGCATTGAGTGAAGAGTGCGAGTGTAGGTGAGAATTTGCGTCAACATTGGATATCTCACACTTCTTTCTTGGCAGGCTCTTGACTTGTCAACATCTATTATCAACTCATGGCATCGCCCACACCAGAATTTACACTACGCGAAACTACATTCACATTAGAACTTTCTCTCCTTCGCTTGCTGGTGCATCATTATATGTATTTTTGACTTCGAATTTTCTGTAAGCTGCACAACCCTATACTCAAGCATTTTTATATCTGTCCTTTTTCTTCTGTGTAAAAACTAAATAATATTCACTATTATTTTTTTTTGTTGACTTATCAATGGAACAATAATCTCTCAATGCCAAAACACAAAAAAAAATAGCAATAGGTAACGCGAGAAATATAATTAACATTATACGTCGTTATTGACTTATCGAATCTCCTGTGACCTTTGTCTTTATCTGAGTTAAACATCGGACGTAACTCAATTTGCGCAGTACAATGAAAGCAGCGAAAGTAAATGATTCATCAGATGGAAGATATAAAAATTGATGTACATGTCATTCTGTATTCATTACTGCTTGTTTCAACAACATAACTAACATAATATGAAGATGACGACGACGACCTCAATACTTTTGTATGTAGGGCTGCTTCTGTTTAGTTTAATGTTCAAATCGACTAGTACGGCGGTTATTAATCTAATGAAAGGTGATGATTTGGACCATGACATGTTGCAGGAACAATGGTCAGACTCTATCTCAGGAATCATCGATAAAAATCCAGATTATATGAATCAAGTAACACCGTTTCGACAACATCAATGGATCGTAGACACGGATAACAGGAAGACTGAACACGCGATGCAGAAAAGATGTGTTCATGGATGTTGGTCTTCACATCATCATCATCACCATGGGTCGAATCCATACTCTGACTCTTTGGCAAATCCATATCCTAGCTCTTGGTTTAATTCATATTCTAGCCTTTGATTAAATCCATACCCTAGTCCTCCGCTAAATCCAAATCGGATTGGAATCCCACCTTTTCAGCAACAATATAAGCGATCATTATTGATATTTGATGACAGCAGAAGTAGTGAGAATTTGGCTAACAATGCTGAGCAGTGGCAAGTAAAACAAAAGTCCACTGACCGTGCTCGTGAATCTATCAAATCACACTAAATAAGTTATAGCGACATATGCTGTTCAAATTAAATCTGCTTTTTGACACTCATCATTGTTTAGTCATTGCCTGAAATTAACAACTATGATCGTCAAGGTTATTTCGGTATACTAACTTCATTAATTGACAAAACTGGCAACCAAATATCCGTTGGCATCGATGAAACTCTTGATAAATCTTTTCAAACTGCAACAAATGTATGTTTGATTAATATTGAAAATCATTTTTAGTTTTCTTTTCTCTACTTTTCATCTAGGATGAAAGCAACAACAAACTTTGAAGTAAAGCATTTAAGTGAACTTTGACATTTTATTTCCAAAGTGACATCAAATATTATTCTTTTTAATAAACATCATACATATATTCCTATAGCCCAACATTGCTAAGCTTTTCATCTGTTTTTATCACACAATAATAAATAATATGTAATCACGGTCGTTTTCCAACAGAGTTAACAATAAAATTGATATATAGTAGACAACAAAAGTATTTTACCACTTCTGAAGTTTTTCTTGTATTTAAGCAAAAGAAAATTGTAGTAGTAGGATTATTGGAAGGATGAGGGCAAGGAGAAGAAAGACACACACACACCCACACCCTTAAATTCTGATTTACTTTCAGTTGTTGTTTTTGATCAGAATACAAGGTAGGATAGTTGAATCATTTTGGCAACTACTACATACCTTTTTTTTCGTTAATTATCTATTTAACACTCTTCTCTCCGTCCTCAAAATTGTATCATTTTTCGCTTTTTTAATCAATGTCAAATATCATGTATAAAAATCAAAATCGGTCATTTATTTTAGTCTATTGATTTATTTTCTCGACTAAACTAATGTTCTCTATCTTTTAGAAGAAATTTCTAGAAAATGAGCCGATATGTTAAAGAGATTGTTAAAGACTACATGATTGTGATATGATTTTTGTTGGCCGTTTAACAAGTCATAAATATTTTGATAAATTGACAAAAACAGTTCAAGATAAAGAAGAATCAAATGAAGAAATAGAATTCTTTTTAAAATATATAACTTTGGGCAAAAACAAAGCAGCTGTTGAACAATTCGCTGATGATCGTAGATATCGTATTGTATACGAAGACTATTTCAATCCTGCTGTCTTTGATATTATCAAAAGAAAAGCATTATTTCAATAGTAAAAAAAAATATTTGTCGCCATCACGAAACGAAAGAAGGATTTAATCTTAACAATATTATGAATGAACATGAAAAACGAACGAAATCGTCAAGTTCATCTTTCATTAAGAAAGGTCCATCAATAGACGATGCTTAAGGAGCAACCTTTGCTCTATTATTTTATACTGGAACAAAAAAATGAAGCAGTTGTTGAAGCACTTATTATTCACTTTTATTTAGTTAAAAGCACTTTGATATATTTCTTATTATTGGGTACCCTGGAGAAAGTACTGAGTTCAGGGTACCCATGTACTGAGAAAGCCTCAGCAGGGTACCCGATATGGGTACTTCGAAAATTTTCAGTAATTATACTGACGTAGGTACTGCATTGGGTACCCATTGCAGTATGTTTACTGAACAAGTACTTGCATGAGTACCC